TGGGGAGGCGGTTACTGCGTGGAGGGAGATTCCCCCGCCCTACAGGAAGCCACGACCACGTGTCACGGGAGGGAAAATGGCCGCGGATCCTGTTTGTCACCTGATCCGGCGTTCACGAACGGAAGCAAAATTTTGCAAACGGTGCTGTTCGTGACCCGAGGTACCACTGTAGTTTGGGTCCAATTAATGTAGAGGCTACATGAAACAAAAACAATTATAGACTTTTAAGAAAATACTAAAATAAACATCACTTGAATCATATTTGTAACTGTTCAGAATTTACATTCTTAAAATATAAAATGCAATAAAACTGAAAGTAATAGTACAATAATTATGATATGCATCTCTGTATCCATCCTACACACACACACATATATATACTGTTATTCTTTCTTACAGGAGTTAGTTCCCAGCAGCAATAGCAATAATGTGGTATCTCTCACTCGGCTTCTGGAAATACTGTTGTGTGACCCAGTGCAAAAAGATCCCAGCAATAAAAATATCCATAAATGGATTATGGTTGGTCCGATATTTGACATATGTTTTAAACTTAATAAATTGGTTATATTTCTTTTGACAAATTTCAGCTTTTGAGTTTACCATTTTTACAGTTAATGTAAGACATAAAAGTATAAAATATGTGCGTTACTATAGATAAATAATGCACACTTCAAATCCTTTATCTGGAAATTTGCTATAACTGTATAATTTATTAAAGTTATAATAATTATACTTAGCTACTAATTACTCCATGAACATACTTTATGAAAATACAAATTATTTATTCATTTTTTGGAAGGGTTGTTTTGCTTTTGCTGTGATTTGGTCCATTGGAGCAACCTGTGATAGTGATGGTCGGATTATATTTGATAACTTTATGAGAGATATTGTCATAGGAAAGCTGGATGAACATCCACTGCCAGCAGCTATGGGAAAATGGGAGCATCCATTTGAAGAGAAAGGATTGGTGTATGATTATATGTTTGAGGTATGGAATCTGCTCTAGAATTATTAATAGATATTTTAATTTATTTTTAATTTTATGAGAAAGATACAAATCACTAATATTAGCTTTCATTGAATGATTGGTATATATATTGTCTCAGGATAATAGTCTGTGCATATGATCAAGTGATGAAAAATTCATGGAAGCTGTAATAAATTTTTAATATGATTGTCTTTAAGATGCCAGGAGCCTCTTTAATATTATCCCTTTCTTGACTAATAGAAGAGAAAGTGGGTAAGTTCTTCCTTCCCATCTAGCTTTTACAGAAAGCAATAGTGAAATGCTACTGATTGCGAGGTGGGGGTGGATTGCAAAAGTTTAACTTGCAGCCAAGCAAATATCTTTCTCCTTCTCCTTCTCCTTCTCCTTCTCCTTCTCCTTCTCCTTCTCCTTCTCCTTCTTTTTTTCCTAGAGCAGGGTTTCCCAAACTGAGATATACCTCCCTTGGGGAGGTGCAGACATAGTCTAGGGGAGGTGTGAAGAACCTTTTAGTTGTTCAGTACATTGTTACAATAAATCCACCTTTCCCAGAGTTTCATTGTATTGTTTTCATTGTTCATTTGTGTTCATGTTGCTGTTTGTATTTTTAGGGGAGGTATTACACCAAAGGGAGGTGTGATGGCAAAAAGTTTAGGAACCCCTGTTCTAGAGGATAGGGTTTGAAGAAAAAAAACCAGTTTTACCATTGGTATGGCTTCTAATGAAAACACAGCAGCGCCTACCAAGTGTGGAAAGGCCCTCATCATTGGTATAGAAGCACAAAATGTGCTTAAGCAACATAGCAATTTATCCTTCACATATTTATTATGTTTTATTCTTTTAAATTAACTGCTTTGATAATAAAAGAGATGTTGAGATTTCAAATCCATCAAGTTCTAATGAAACACTTAGAATTCATTTCTGCATTTCTTCAATAGTTAAAAGGAAAAGGCCGTTGGGCACATTGGAATGAAGCTGTTAAAACCATCAATTACAATGATAAAAATATTAAAATTCAAGACATTATAGTCCCAACAATGGACACAGTCAGATATACCTATTTGATGGATTTGTGCATTAAATATGGAAAGTAAGAAAGCATGTTTCTTTTAATTATACGAATGTTTCATTTTTCACATGAGGGCTTTAAGTAAAGCATCCAGAAATTGTTTTGCAGTCTAATTAGCAAACAAGAATATAGGACTACTGTGTTTCTAATATTAAACTCCACAAAATATTCTTTAAAATAATATTTTCTTGTATCCACCTGGTTAAACTAGTACTATTTTTTATTTTAAGTATTTGCATAATTGCTCATGGTATATTATTATTCTGTTACAATGTATTTAAAATTGTGGAACTTCCTCTAAGAAAGTAGAATGCTCAATTTCTTTAAAGTATAACCACTGCCATTTCTAGCACCATTTCTCAGCATACACATTTCAAGCGAAAGCCGTAGGATGTATTGGCAAAGCAGGCCTTCAGTAAAATACAGAGGGTGGGTGGTGGAATCTATGTGCAGAGGGAATTCCATGTTCATATTAGATCTTACTAAGTTCTTAGAAAAATACTGAAGCTAATTTATTAGGCTTAAATGGATGGATTTATCTCAATAAATCTCCTTAAGCTATAGAAGATTGGTTTCTATTCATTTACATGGGCTAACATATTGGACTTGAGCAATTTTCCACTGCTCTGGACAGATTTCATGGCATGCAGAGGATATTCTTTCTATTCCAATGGACACCATTGGACTGTACCTTCTTTCTTATAACAGTAGTTAAAATTAAAACTAATCTGTGGGAACATAGGCTTCTTCCCATCTATAGTACTATTTTTCTGGCAACAAGGCGGCTTGGGATTGTGCTCATCCTTGAGTTGATTGACCTTGACCTTGACCAAGTGCTAGAAGGTGACTGCTGAAACAAAACAGCTTAGTAAAACAAGGCAACTCACTTAGGATCTGGGCAGTGCAGATGTTAGCAGGTATAATAGCAGTGCCCTAAGCCACGAGCAATTTTAAAAAGGTTCCTCTTGCCAGAGATTTTAAACCCAGTTCAACTGTAGTTTTATTTATTTCATTTTATTTATTAATTTTTTTAACTGCCTGATAGCCAAAGCGCTCTGGGGAGTTTACAATATAAGTCACTAAAAGTATAATCTGACCCTATATGATTAAAATCAAATAAAATACAAAATAAAAACACTATATAAACTAGGCAGTAGCACAGCAGTCATTTAAAAACTAAGAATTAAAATAAATAAAGTTAAAATACAATTAAAAACCAACTAAAAGCTTGGGAAAATAGAAAGGTCTTCACAGATGCTAATGATGCTAATGTTGGTGCCAGTTGTGCCTCTCTGGGGAGGTATAGAGAGTAAGGGAGTTTGGAGAGTAAGGAAGAGAGCCAGTTTGGTCTAGTGGTTAAGGCACCAGGCTAAGAACTAGGAGACGGTGAGTTCTAGTCCTGCCTTAGGCTTGAAAAACCGGCTGGGTGACTTTGGGCCAGCCACTCTCTCTCAGCCCAAGTCCCCTCACAGGGTTGTTGTTGTGGGGAAAAGAGGAGGAGGAAGGAGTATTAGATATGTTCACCACCTTGAATTATTTATAAAAATAATAAAGGCAGGATTAAAAAAAAATCTAAAAGAAAGATCACCTTGATGCAAGATTAGTTGCTAGGGCAACAAGGGGTGAACATTATTTCAAGTCAGCTAGATAATGTTTGTAAGCAGCTCAGACAGACACCTTCCAAATTCATTGAAGTATAAGAAGGGGGAGGAGTTACAGCACAATCAGACTTGCAGGATTCTGTTATTATAGCCAGTCTCAATAAAAGTTGTTTAAGCCTTCCTGTGATTTGACTTCTTGGTCTGGTCTACCTAGTAGAGCTGACATCAATCTTGCAAGTATAATTGCCTGAATTTTCTGCTTAACATATTGGACTTCTACATACATTTAAATTGCATTTATTATTTTATTTCACTGTGATTCCATGAATAGGTAACTAAAAGTATAAAGCAGTCATATGTTTCTCAAACAATTAAAAAAGCTGTTAGACATCAATTGTTATTGTTTGATAGTTTCAAATATTCTGTCTAGCCTAGTAATGAAAAAGCAGTATAACCATATGAATTTCTTTCCAAGGCCGCTGCTTTTTGTGGGACCAACAGGTACTGGGAAGTCTGTATACGTAAAAGACAAGCTAATGCACCACCTAGAAAAGGATCTCTACTTCCCATTCTTCGTTAACTTTTCAGCTCGAACCAGTGCCAATCAGACCCAGGTTAGTAAGGTCAATTCTCATTGGAATTACTTGGAATCCTTTATTAAGATTTGAAACTTTTTACCTATTTTTGCTGGAACCTTACTTTTCTTTAGGCCTGCAGTTTACATTTAGATTCACTTGAGATGAATATTCATTTGCTTCCAACTTTTACTTAGGTAAACAATATAATTAATAATAAAATATATTATATTTAAGCATAGCCAATCCTGTACAGACGTCTCCCATTGAGTGATTAATGAATTGACTTATCTCACAGCAATGTTGCGTGCAGAAAAATAGGAGAATGGACCAAGAGCTCCTGTACAAAAGGCTGGATAAATGTCTAATAAATATTAAAAAACAACAACTGGATTATATTTAAGATCCATGATCAGCTGTTAACTTACCCAGAAACCGTTTGTAAACCATCATTTTTTAAATTACAAGGCACATTAACATTTATCTGCATCAGCTTCATTTGCATACTCTGTGCCAGAAATATGTCAAACTGTAATATGCTCCACAGCACAATGTGGCTTGCATCTCTGTTGGGTTTTATACACTTTCAATCATCTGGGTCAAAATCTGATTAAAGAAGGAAGGGTATTCCCACAGGCGCATCCCTTTCAAAGATGAATTGATGTGTTTGCCAGCATATGTTTGTCATAAGTGGCTACTTGCATCTATGATGGATGCCTGTGGAAAGAGATATTTGAAGCTCATTATGTAGACAAATTCTTTTAATTTTCGCAATAATTATACAAGACTGAACCCTTTTATCTTTGGAGTTGAAAAATTGAATCTTCTCTTGGGATCAGCGGATGGTAAAACAAAATGATTATTCATAAAACTTCAGAAAATAATGATAATGCATATGTTTCCATGTTATAAAGTTCCTACTAGGTCTAAGATTTTTTTCACATTTTGTCCATGTCATAGGTAGTTGCCCTCATGGGTATACAAAGTAATAAGGCTTCCAGTATATCACCTTTTGGCCTCATCTGTTGCCATGCACGCATATGACATGCTCTCACCATTCATATTTCTGTTTTTCTCAGTCCCACTAGGCAGACCAGACCAGGAAATAAACTCCACGGGAAGACTAAAATTACTTTTATTGAGATTGGCTATAGTAACAGAATCTTGCAAGTCTGATTGTGCTTACTTCCTCCTTCTTCTTATATTTTGGTGAATGAGGGAGGCTTCTGCCTGAGCCACTTCCGAATGTTATCTTACTGTTCTGAACTTAAAAAATACTTCAGCCCCTTTTGCCCCTGGTAATGGTTTCTGCATATTTCTGTCAAGGTCATCTTCTTTATTCTCTGCAGTTTTTGTGCTACTTTTATGACATCTTTGAAGTTGGTTCAATGACAAATATCTGCATTTAGGATTCAGTCTCTCAACAAGATCTTTAGTAATTGCCTCTTCATCAAGTGTTGTATTTCTTGAAGCTTCTGTTTCCAATTTTCTTAGTTTCCACATTTGCAGTTATAGATCACCACTATGATGATCAAGATGCCCTCTCTTGTATTGGTGTTTCCTATCTGTTATAGGATTGATTTTATGCAGTTAAAGCTGAACCACTGTTCTTTGGTGCAATATCTTTTGGTTGCTTGTGTGTGGCACTGATTTTCTGGCTGAAGTAGATATAGGAATTGACACAATCTATTGGGTCACATCTACTTTCCAATTGACTTTTCTTTATACAGTATATTCACAGTTTTCCTATCATTGTCCATTGTTTGGAGAAACATCTCATTTTGTATACGGTCAATTCACAATATTTTAAATAATTTGCTATAAATCCACATTTCAAACGTTTCTATTCTGTTTCTATTTGGGTTATTGTCTATGTTTTTTACTGCCTCCAAAAAAACTAAAAAGACTAATAGTATACAATCCATTAACCAAGTTCCAGGCTTAAGTCCCAACAGTAAAGAAGTTAACTTATTTTTTCAAAAGCTGCTCTCCTTTTCAATCCCACCTCTTCTTTCCATGCTATGATCGCTTCTGTCATTCAGAATATAGTCCCAGGTATTGTTGTCTCCTTCGCACTTGTTTTCCTAGTGGCATAATAATTCAAGATTTTATTTTTACTGGAAACTATTATTTTTATTTTATTTTGGTTTATATTTAGTACATAAAATTTACTTAACTGATATTATTAAATGAACAAAAGTTGTAAACCTAGCTATTTTTTTTAATGTCATGATAT